GCAAACCTCGGTGTTGCTCCCACGCCTCGCTCAGCCAGTGAGCGGGAGCTGGTCTGTATGTGGGATCCGAACCCTCGGGCGGCAGCGCTGCCGCGCCTCCTAAGCGGCGCACTATCCAGTGCGCCACTGGGCCGGCCCTGTGTTATTTTTTTTTAATGGCAGCTGAGAAATCACATGACTAAATTATAACTAAGTCGCTATAATTTATGTTTTAAGTGAATCATTCACAAACGTTGACACTAGAAACATTTATTCATATGTATCAAGCCACTTGGGACATAACTGGTCACCTCACATCACCATTTGAATCAACACTGCAAAGGAGCACCACTTGTGTATGTGAAATATGCTCTTTTCTCTGGTGACATTTGCCCATCTTTATGAACATAATAAAATCAGAGAATCAAAGAGCTGCAAGAATTCTTAAAGCCACCTAAGTCTAACAGTGAGAGTCCAATAATCTTGGAAGGACTTCAGAGTTGGCACAGCGCCCTCACTTTTCATCTCTGGGCATTCTCCCTCATGTGTAGAGGGACATGTCCTTGATCAGGTTGGTGATGTCAGCAATGGGAGGAGAAACCACCGATTTCTCCCAACTGAATCTTGTCCATTCGGTATGTATTATGCCATAAATTTCTGTACAGTGCAAAAATCACTATCAAGACTAATATAAGTGGTCAAAGAGTGAATATAGGTCGTGATCCTTGGTTAGTCTGATTTCTGTATTTTATGTGGTTCTTCTGTCTCCTGTTTTCAGCTGTCAGAATATCCTCAATGTTCTCTCCTACCCCACAGACTTAGGCTCATGAAAAAATATACATCAGTTTAAGATAACAGTGGGTTTAAAGTCACTCCCACATTTTTAAAGCAATATCAGCTCCGTGAGAGGTGTTGTTTGCCATTGAAGAGCACTTTGGTCCAGTTTATTTTAGCTTGTTCATTGCCTCAGGATGCAGAGGATGTGTGCTGCCTGCAGGATTGACCTGTAATGTACTTTTTCTACTGTTGGAAGTTGCTAAAACATTTGGCCTTAATAAAAGCATTAATAAGGATTTTATTAATCCTCATCTGTCATTGTCTTGGCATGTATTTGTTCTCTTCCCTTTCTCACGTTCTCCTCAGCTGGTGGCTTCATATGTTGGGTTCCTCTTCAACCTCCCCAGCTCCACTTCCTGCCTGAATTCCCTTTCAGAACTTTTCATGGAATGTTCTATGCAGTTCTGGGCAAAAGAGGAAAGTGAACGCAATCGGTGGCTTCTTCCAGTCAGCACCCCAGCCAGCTGCTGCAAAGAGGAAAGGATTTCCTCTTTCTCGAGTTTAGTTTCTGGCTCTGTGATGTTAGAAAAACAGAGATCTGTTGCCCTGGATTTTGTAGGGGGATGACAGAAATGATTAATGGGCTGCTGGCCTGATCTGAAGAAAGATTAGAACAAATGAATAGAAATAGGCAGTCTAATAGAGGGGACTTCTAAACGGGAAGGGAGCCTTGGCAGTGGTACTTGTCCACTGCCTGCTCCCTGAGCTAGTCCTCCCTGCTGGACACCACATCTCTGCCAGGCTGGCAAGCACAGGCTGCCACGTTGCACTTTCCAATCTCTGAGCCCCACAGAAAGGAAGATGAAGGTGGTGGTCTTCTCGCTGCTTTTCCAAAATGTGATTTTGCAAGGATACCTGGGTTTATGACACTGTGAGTGGCTCCACTGTGTGTGTGTCTGTGTGTAGGGGATATTTCCCATTGGACATCATTGAAAAAAATGCAGAGTCAGTTAGAAATGCCATATACATAAATTCTATCTTTTGTTTGTCCTGAAGATACTGGAATGAAAAGTGCTCACTTAAACCCTTTTTCAGTTTTAATTCGAAGCTCTGCATTTGAAAGTTTATACCACATTTGTGTTCACCAGCTGTGGTGAAGCTCAGAGACACTGCAGACACAGTGAGGCAGGTAGTTCCCTTCCCTAAGCTGATGAAATATAATTTTATTAAAAACTGGTTTTGTTACTATGACCATGATGGTCATTCCAAAACCATTTCTGCTATTAAAGCAAGAGACTATAAAGAGATTCCTTTTTTTGAACAAAATAAAAAATATATTTTAGCTTCCTCTGCTATTTTTTTTTTTTAAATAAGATTATGGGTAGTCAAGCTCTTATTATCTGTTTTTTTTTCGAAAACATTTGCTTTGGATCTTGCCTATAGACTTGTCAGCTGCCTGGAGAGTTCTGATGGAGGTCATACACCTGGTGGTCGCTACTGGCTGTAGTGTTGTGTCCCTGCATCTGTGGGACTCTATTGTGGGTTGTCTTTCTGCAAAGTGTTGGATCCTCAGGTGGCCTGGGTCAGAGAGCGAGGTAGGGAGGCCATGAAGCAGAAGCCCAGCCTCTTCTTGCTTTATCGCAATGAGCATGCTGTATGGGTCAGAGGTGGTGCACACTGACTCGTGTTCCGTGATCTGCTGAGGGTAGATGCTGCTCCTGGTCTTTATTTATCAATGTGACATTTTGTTCATGCTCCAACTGCTTGCCTTGGCATTCCAGGGCAGAACAATTTTGTGGTGGTAGGAAACAAAGTTTTAAGCCAAGGACTTGTTAAATGAACATATATTTGAAGGCTCTTCTCCCATATTTAAAATTAGGATGAGTGATATTTTAAGGTTCATTNATACAAAACATTTATGTTGTAGAATCTTGTTTAGTATATTTTGGCTATTAATTTTAATGTTACAAAAACAAACCATGCATTTTCCAAGGATTCCTATGCACGTGTGTATGGATGTATCATATCTTGTTGAAAGCAGCAGTTAAGGGAAACAGGTTCACATGATGCCTGCTCAGAAGTGGATGAACCAACAGGAGAAAATTTATACTGTTGGACTGTCCAAGCATAAACCTCCTCCACTATGGGATTTATTCCCTCTGCATCTGCTTGGGTGATTGTATTCCCAACACTGAGAGAAAAAAAGTTCTTTAATTCACAGACACCTGCTATGTTAATGTTGCTGCATACTGTTAAATTCATAGTTACAGCAAGAAACTAAATTTGAGCTTTTTTTAATGTGGTCAAACCATTCCAAATCATGTTTCTGCAGGCTCAATATTTTTATTAGTAGGGATATCAAAAATCTTTCTTATTCTGTCTGTTGAGTCTTTCTCCTCCCCCTATGTTTTCTGGGTATTTGGATGTGTTGCCTTTTATAAGCTTTATTTAATGATTTGTACTAAATTGAATACGTATTTTTTTATTTTTTCTTCTCAAAGTCACATTCTTGACTTTCCTAGTTGTAAGACAAATTAATATGAGATGTCAATTTATTGATAGAGGCCAAATATAAGTAAAACGTCTTGCCTAGAAATAAGTGCATCTGTGTATTTCTCTAGGAATAGATTTTTAAAT